GGATCTGACACCCTTTTCCGGTCCCCCGAAGGCACTGGGCACACATTCAGGCAAAACACTCACACACATAAAATAAATAAATCTTATAAAAACAAATAAACAACAACAACAAATAAACCTCTCGATAAACCAGGTGATGCACACACGTAATCCCAGCCTCAGGGTTGGGGGTGGGGGTGGGGGGGCGAGGCAGGGCAAGAGGATCAGGAATTCCAGGTCATTCTGGACTTTACATGAAGTAATATTGAATTTAAGGTCAGGGTGACCTACATCAGACCATATCAGATAGGTAGATAGACAGACAGAGTTGGTTTTACATGCAGGAGTGTATTCATTTTTAAAATTCTAGCAATATCCAATACCTTAGGCCATGAAAAAATGAGTTGCTGAGGAGAGAGAAGGGGGAATGAAGGCAGAAAGATGGTTGAAAAAAAAAAAAAAAGCCAAGGAAACATGCACGTCCCCTGAAAATTTGTCATCAGACTTTCGAGACTTTGAGTTTGGAGACAAGCAGGCATAGCTGATAACAATACCACATATTGTCACAAGGTGGCGCAGCTACTCCATTAGTTTCTCTCCACCCTTCTGGCCCAGTGGTTGCATTGTTCACAGAATAACTAGCAAATACCATTATGTCATTTTTCTTTTTTTTCTCCTCTTTCTTTTTATTTCTTTCTTTCTTCTTTTCTTTCTTTATTTCTTTTCTTTTTTTCTTTTTCTCCCTTTCTTTCTTTCTCTCTCTTTCTTCCTTTTCTCCCTTCCTTCTTTTCTGTCTTCATTCCTCTTCTTTACATTTTTATTTTGTGCTTCTCATCCTGTCTTCTGTCGTTCACATATACACTGAGTGTCATTGGCCAGAGATGATCAGAGACAAAAGTGCCACTTGCGACAAAGCAGGAGGGGCATGCCAGAACCCTGAAGAGTGACAGAGGCCTGGTAAAGGCAGCCCCAGATACCCCACAGGCTGAGGCAGGAGGATCACTTGAGGGCATTCGAACATTGTAGCCCAGCCAGGGAAATACCATGTATCCCTGCCTCCATGTTACTCTTTCAAAAACAAAAACAAAAACAAAAACCAGTCCTAACCAGAATGGAGAATGACATGCAGAAACTGTATTTTTAAATTATAGAAGAATTTGACAGTATGAAACTAAGTGGAAAACATGAGAGATCTAAAGCCACATCCCAGGTTAAGGGCTGTCTAGACTGTGCACCTGGAAAAAGGCCTTGCAGAAAAGTAAGTTTCCACTTTGTTCAGGACTCCCTGGCCTGCCCCTCCCCATCCTTATTTGGTCCTTGAAGGTCTTTGAATGTACCATATAGTCCTTTTTTGTGGAGGGGCGGGGGTGGTTTTTTTGTTTTTTGTTTGTTTGTTTGTCGTTTGTTTTGTTTTGTTTCTCGAGAAAGGGTTTCTCTGTGTAATAGACCTAGCTGTCCTGGAACTCGGTTTGTAGACCAGGCTGTCCTCAAACTCACAGAGATCCACCTGCTTCTGCTTCCCTGGTGTTGGGACTAAGGGCGTGCGCCACCACACCTGGCCAGTCCTTCTTAACACTCAATAATTGTACATGTTTATGGAGCACACCATGATAACGCATGTCTATGGCATGTACCAACCAAACCAGGATGTCTAGCACTTCCGTCACACTGAACATCTGACATGTCTTTGTGCTAGGAGCCTGAGACTTCCTCTCCAGTTCTTTATGAACTGTGTAATAAACTGTTGTAACTACCTTCGCCAGGCTGTGCCGTGGGCATTAGAAATATCCCTAGTGTACAGTTATCCACTCTGTGCCCCCTGCCCCACCCTTTCGTGTTAGTTAGCTCTCTGTAGCGCTGACAGAATGCTCAAGGAAGAAAAGGGGGAAGACTAGGGTCCCGGCCTCCAGGAGTCCACTGGCTCTCGCTTTGGGCATCAGGTGCCACAGAAGCTGCCTACCTCATGCTGGGCAGCAAACTGGGAGGAAAGGGCCCCAAACAGAATACTCTCCCAGGGAGCACCCTCAGTGACTGCTTCCTCCAACCGGACCCCACCTCCCCAAAATGCCACCAAATTGTGAATCTATCAGTGTGTAATTCACGGATGAAGTCAGAGCCCTCGTGATCCAGTCCCTTCCCAAAGTCCCCCTAGCCCACACCCACAGGAGTTTCCAGATCAAGCCACAACAGCTGGGGCCTCCAGTGGCCTCTAGTGGCTGCTGTCCTTTACTACTATTTTAAGACACTGGTTTAGTTTTTTTGTGTAGCCCTGGCTGTCCAGGAACTCACTCTGTAGACAGGCTGGCTTCAAACCCAGATG